CACCCACGTGGGCGCCACTTCCTGCTCAGCCCCCTGCCAATTGCAGCTGGAAAAGCAGTGGAGGATGGCCCAAGTGCTTGGGCCCCTACCACCCACATGGGAGACCTAGATGGACCAGGCTCCTACCCTGGTTCCTGGACATTTTCTGCCATCTGGGGAGTGAACCTGCAGATGGAAGATCTCTCTCCTGCTCCTGCTCTCTCTCTCTTACTCTGTAACTCTGCCCTTCCAATATAATAAAATAAACTAGTGGATGGATGATCTCTCTCTGTCTCTTCCTCTCTCTCTGTAACTCTTTCAAATAAATAAATCAATCTTAACCACCCCCACACCAGGTAGTGTGCAGGGAGGAGATGGCCACAGGCATGACAGGCAGCACCCACTAGAGCCAGTCATCTGTCACTGGTAGTGGAATTAACAATGGCAACAATAATATTTAATATTTTTCAAGCTATGTACCAGGCAGTATTCTGAACACCTTAGAGCTGTTAATTCATTGAATCTTCACAACAACCATAAGTAAGATATTACTTTTTTTAAAAAAAGATTTATTTATTTGAAAGTCAGAGTTAGAGAGAGAGAGTCTTCCATCTGCTGGTTCACTTCCCAATTGGTTGCAACAGCTGGAGCTGGGTCGATCTGAAGCCAGGAGCCAGGAGTTTCCTCCAAGTGTCCCAAGTGGGGGCAGGGGCCCAAGGACTTGAGCCATCCTCCACTGCTTTCCCAGGCCACAGCAGAGAGCTGGATCGGAAGTAGAGCAGCTGGGATTCAAACTGGTGCCCATATGGGATGCTGGTACTGCAGGCGGTGGTTTAACCCGCTATGCCACAGTGCCAGCCCTAGATATTACTTTTACAGTACTCCTCCCTTGTCCAAGGGGGATGTGTTCCAAGACCCCCCACCCTGTGGATACTTGAACTGGTGGATGGTAACGAACTCTAGATAGAAGTACACTGTTTTTCCCTGTACATACATATGTATGATAAAGCTTAATTTATAAATCGGACACATTAAGAGATTACCAATTAGAACTCACAAAATGGAATTACTATAATTACTGTAATAAAAAGTTTATGAATGTGGGCTTGCTTTCTCAAAAGATCCTGTACTCTTCTCACATCATGATGATGATGATGCGGGATGATTCAGTACCTGCGTGATGAGGTGAATGACAGAGCCATTGTGATTCAGCCCGAGACCGCTACTGATCTCCTGACCATAACAAGTGACAAGCAGCATCATGTGCTTTGGATGATGTTGGGTGGACAAACCAGGACACTTTGGGGGCAGGTAGTGTTTACAGCCTGAATATATGGGACAAAAGGGTGATTCATGTCCTGGACACAATAGAGCCACACAGCACAAGACTTCCTCATGTTACTCACAACAGCATACGATGGACACCTTTGGAATTGCTTCTGGAATTTTCCATTTTATACTTTTGGGCTACAGTTGACCATAGGTCACTGAAACTGCAAGTAAGGGGGACTGCTGTGTTACTGTCATGGTCATTGTCATTATCATCCCTACTTGACAGACAAGAACCGAAGGCTCAGTGAGGCAGAGAAACTTGTCCACAGAATCTCAGCTCCAGGAAGCAGCAGCTCCAGGAGTGCAGAGAACAGGCCCGTAGCCATGACCTGCAGCCTCCCCACTCCCCCATCTTGGGAAATGGAGGTCTGAGAAGCAGGATGAATGATCATGGAGTTATCTGAACTCCCATGTTTATAGCAATTCACCATAGCAAAGATACGGAATCAACCTAGATGTCCATCAACTGATAACTGGATAAAGAAAATGTCATCCATGTACATGATGGAATTTTACTGAGCCATAAAAAAGAATGAAATCCTGACATTCGCAACAAAATGGATGGAACTGGAGATCACTATGCCAGCTGAAATAAGCCGGTCTCAGAAAGACAAACATCCCATTTCTTCTCATATTTGTGGAAGAGTATAAAAATTATGTGGATGTCATACCATTTTTGCTATATGGCTATAAATATTGCTTCATTGAGCCATACATGTAAAGGACAATACACTGATCATTATTATAAATCCCTCATTTTGTGATATTAATAGCTCTTTTATTTTTGAAAGATAGAGTTACATAGAGAGGTAGAGCCAGAGAAAGAGAGGTCTACCATCTGCTGGTTCACTCCCCAGATGGCCGCAAAGCAGGAGCTGTGCTGACCCAAAGCCAGGAGCCAGGAGCTTCTTCCAGGTCTCCCACATGGGTACAGGGGCCCAAGGACTTGGGCCATCTTCTACTGCTTTACCAGGCCACAGCAGAGAGCTGGATCGGAAGTGGAGCAGCCAGGACTTGAATCGGCACCCATATGGGATGCCAGCACTGCAGGCGGGGGCTTTAACCCACTGCACCAACAGCACCGGCCCCAATAACTCTGTTTTCAAGAAAAATAAACTAAAATGCAAAAATGGAAAAAGAGCAATGCAGACCTAAAAGGCGACATGCTCTCGAGCCATCGTGCACCCTTTCTTTTGCGGTCCACACTCTGGCGTGATGCTGCATCCAACTGAGTTGCAGAGTACGTGCGCTTTCCCTTAGGAGAATGCATCCCTGGGTCGAATCACTGCCATTTGGAACTTGGCAAGGAGCACTGGGTATTAAAGGAAAATTTCTAATAAAACAGTCTTGGAATTTCCAAGTTAAAGCCCCAAAGAAACCCACCGAAAGGTTCTACTTCCGTCCCAGATGAAGGCAGTGTGTGTGGAACTGAGCCCCGTGAAAAGGAGGTGTTCCTCTCATGAGCAAAGCAACGGCAGGAAACAGGAGCAGCTCCGCTCAGAAGCCGAGCCAGGGGGCTCGGGAAGCTGGTGCAACCTGGCTCCAGCAGAGCTTGGCCACCAGTTTTAATATTTTCAATAGTTTCTCAAAGTGAGGAGGCAAAACCCATTTGACAGGTGAAAAAGCATCTCTATTGACTTTTTACAAACCTTACGATACTCTAGGTGGATCGACACTTATCATAGCCCTTTAATCTGCCAACGAGGATAATGTGTGCACGGATAATTTATCCACTGTGAGATTGAAATGCTCAATTTGGAATAACTTTCACCACCCGGTAAATTGAGCGTTGCTCCATGATTTGGAAGCGGAGAGAAAGCACAATTTAAAGAGCTTTGCAGAGTTCCTTTGTAACTCGTCACAGCTTCCCCTGAATGTTAATTTCCCCCTCATCTGTCCCTAGGACTACGGAAGCACGCCGGCCAGCCGCCTCGGCTCACACACCTAGGATTCCTGTGAAGTGGCCCGCAGAACGCACCCTCTGTTCTTCAGGGCGGTGTGTGGGGCTTATCAGTGCAGTTTAATATTTATGCTAAGAGGATTGTCAAAAGCAGCTTCTGTTGCTTTAATTCTTGTTTTAAATAAATAATGAGAACATTTAAACACATTACTCTTCTTGGGGCCCTGAGGTCAGCTAATCTTATTATTTATGAAGTGATGTGCTACATAATAGTACTTAGTGCATGTTAACAGACGCTATTATCAGGCCCTGATGTGGAGAGCTGAAGATATATTGGAATGTTACGTGTAATGTACGACGGATTGAGTGCATAGGATGCCGGTATAGCAATTAACCACATGTGAAAATAGGTGTAAAGTTGAAGTATGTTTTCCTGTGGGGATATCCTCACCATTAATAATTCCCCCGAGAAGATGATGTCTTTCAGCCAGGAAGCTCCTGCCGTCAGGCTCAGAAACAGGGCCACTCTAGGATATTCCATTCTTTGACCTCCTCATCGTCCTGCACAGTCAGAAGACAAGTAGCGGCCAAGGTCATATTTTAATTGATTAACAGAAAGAGTCAGAGGAGTCCAAGGTGGGGCTGCACCTGTTCAGTGCGTCCATGTTTCCTCATGGTATTTGTTCCTAGTACACACATTCTGACTACTTGTGTGCTCCAGGAGAGTCGAGAAATGGCTCCTTCCATAGTGCAGTTTATATCTTTCTCTCGGATCCTCGTTTGTTTGTTTGTTTGTTTGTTTTCCAGATAAATAAAGCCACAGGGCTCTCTGAGACCAATTTCCAGTAAGCTGGTCTCTGGGAGAGGCAGCTGCCTGCCAAGGTGCCATGGTGTTGCCCCAACTTTTTTCCTATGAGGCTATAATTTAGCTGCATATGATAATTAATTTCTCTACTATTGATGAATAATCCATTTAATAAAAACTGTGATTTAAGTGTTTTCCTTAGGGACGAACTCTTGGTAGCCTCTTAATTTAATTTTGTGGAAGTTTCCTCCACCTATTCATCAGTGGAAATGATTATTAACCTCTATTTGCATATATCCTTATAAATCGGTCTCTCCTTGGAGTGCCTTTCTCTGAGCCCAGCAAGCTGGGACACTTGTAAATCTCCAGGATCTCCAAAGTCAATCCCGGTCTGTAATATTGTTTAATCTATTCTTGGACGTTTTAATGCAGTAAATTCAATTTAATCTTTCCCAGTAATCTAGTAATACATCGAAATCCCACAAACATTTAAATCTGATAATGGCTTAATCACACACTTTAAATAACAGTTGAGATAATGAAAAAATAATTCACCATTTTAAAGGCAGAAGAACTGAATTTCCCTGGTGATTGGCTTCGGCGAAGCCACTCGAGGTAACACCGAGAGGTCTTCAAAGAAAAGTTCACAGGCAATGCGCGGCCTCGGAACCCTCTGCATGGGTTTCAAAACACTTTTTGCACCCAAGTCAATGTCCGTATTCATTCTGTCTTTGTACGCACTTGATGAAGTTCCCTCTTACAGATCTGGGAGTTGAAAAGACAGGAGTCCCAGCACCATCAGGAGCCATGCGTCCTTAGCAACACCTGTTGCCTGCCATCCGCCCTGCAAGCCAGTCCCTCCCCATCACCCCCATGACCTTCACCACCCAGGACTGCTTTCCAGTGCTGTTGCACGTCTCCCATGGCTTTGGGTCTTCCGGGACTTTCTTCCCATGGATTCATTGCCTCTTGTTCCTCTTCCAGGTGCCAGTGCCGAATCGCTCGAACTTTGCCCGTGGATCAGAAGCCAGACTGCCGGCCCTATTGGGAAAAGGACGACCCTTCCATGCCCCTGCCGTTCGACCTCACAGAGCTCGTCTCGGAGCTCAGAGGTCTGCTTCTGGAAGCAAAGCCTTAGAAGGAGCGCCAGGCTGCAGGAAGCGAGAGCTCCGCGGCTCTTCTCCTCCCACCTGGTTGTGCATGGGCTTGGGCAACAGCAGTGTAGCCATCTCTTGACCTCGACCCCTGGATGCTAGAACCTGGATCCTAGTTTGAAACAGCTAGGGAATGGAGCCCACAAATGTTAAATCGGTTCAAGATGATGCCGTGTGATTTGGTATTACAAACGAGAACCTACCCCCAAAATACTATTTCCCATTTTTTTTTTTGTCTTTAATGGGAATTATGCAGCCCCCAGGGGCCATGGAGGCAGCTGCAATGAGGGCCAGCTGTGAGAAAGCCAAACCTCCTTTCCTCCTGCCTAAGGCTTTCCCAGAGGCTCCAGAAGGGACCCAGGCATCTGGGGGCAGACAGACAGATGTCCATCCCGATCTCTCACCACACCCTCCAGAGCAGGTGAGGGGAGCGTCCTGCCTGCGGGCTAAGACCCACGAAATCTTTTGGCCTGGCTCTGCCTGGCAAGGCAACTGCAGGCAGGACTCGAAATTCCGCTAAGTCCATAGCAGGCTAATTTTTAAGGGGATAACTTTGTATGGTCCGCAGATGACGTCATAATTATCCAAATGACCCTTGGCAGAAAAAATTTAAAAATCCCCAGTGCTGATCAGCTGTGCTGTCCACGGTGGGAGCCACTAGGTAGCTGTGGCTGCTTCCACTGAAATGCATTTTTAGTTAAAAATTCAGTTCCTCTGTTGTCCTAGCCACACATTAAGTGCTTACTCTCTACACATGGCCAGCGACCACCTTATTGGACAACACAGATACCAAGCGTTTTAATCCTGGACAGTGCTTCTGCAGGAAGGCTGAGAGCAAGAATTCTCTTTTCCACTTCTCCGTGCCTCCATCCCCACAGGAGGAAGAAATTCACAGAGAAATGGCCCATTGAAGGGTAACCTCTTTCCCTTCTCTGAAGACGAAGCTGAGCAACAGCCAGAGAGTTCTGAGTCAGGCGCTCTGCACACAGGAATGGGGAAGTGTTAGCAATTCAAATAAATAAAAAATTAAAAGAAATGTCCCTATCCTAATACAAGAGGCACCACCCTACCTCCATGGCACCGTGGATTTGGACAGCAGCACACAGGTTTGCTTCTGTAATTCCCCCCGGCTTGTATTTACTAACGGGGAGAAGCAACTAGGCTTGAGGGACCGTGGTGCCCTACACTGATGACCCTGGAGCGTCCCAGAGACAGTGCAGAGGAGAACCTAAAACCCAGGCTCTGGCTTCAGCGGGCCTGAGTTAAGACTCCCACCAGCTCTGTGACCTTTGGCACGTTATCAGGCCTCAGTGGCCTCCTCTGTGCAAGGGGAACACTAAACACACCAGCTCCCAAAGTGTACAGGAAGTGTGGCAGTCCAGCTACAGGCTTGGAGCAATTCCTGGCACACCGTGGATTTTATTACTCTACACAGCTGCTGATGTGTTCCTGGCCCTTCCTCCATCCCAGTGCCACTCACGCATCCCTCCTCTGCGACCTGACTCCCACCTGTACGTGTCCCCAGGAATCATGAGTGAGCCCCACCCCGCCTTCCATTGCGCATGCTCACAGTAGGGTCGCAGCCCAGGCGCTGGGAGAGGTGCTCGCAGAAAAGGACTGGATCCTTTCCCGTGGAGTGAACAGCCACGGGAAAGCGATGGTCCATGGCGCGGAGACCCCGGGCTCTCAGACCTGAAACTACCCCCCCCCCCCAGGGCTCCTGGTCAAAGAGAAGTGAAAAGCGCCACCCTGCAGGGTTGTTGTAGAGATGGAAATGGAAGGAGGGTGTGGCACGCCATGACGTCACAGACCCGGCACCCTCGGACCCTGTGGCTCACAGTTTTGAGTCCCCTGTGTTTCCTTTGGTGCCACTCTTTTAAAAGATTGGGAAATTTTTACACGAAATAAACATGTCTGCATTCTCTGTAGCCTGGGCCCCATCCCAGCATGGCAACCAGCGGTAATGTCTCCCCACTCCGAGGCGGGTGGGCCCCTATTATCATTTTATCATCGACCTGACCCTCCAAGCCTGTGTGCTTGCACCCCCGTAGTAGAAATAAAGTAGGCATAGTGCTCACCCCCATTTACGTGTATTACCCTTGAACTATATTCGTAGACTGCTTGTTCTAATCTCTCATGTGCATTATAAAACATTTATATACAATAAAGATGTTAAAAGAATCAGGTGAGAGCCTCCACTAGTGTTTTCCCCCCTGCACACCGGTGGATGGGCCTGTTTTGCTGGCCTGGGGGTGGGGGGCTCAGGTGGACCAAGGCTGTCCTCGAAATCTTCCAGGGTTGGAGAAACCATCTTCTGTGAAACCCAAAGCTGAGGTCTTATTTCCTCTCCAAGGAACGGTGGCTTCCACTGAGCGTGAGCCCAGTTTGTTTGAGGATTCCATAGGCACAGGGGGGAGGTTTCAGGTGGGTAGAAGGCAGGCAGGCAAGAGACAGCAGCCAGGCCGCGGTGGGGACATGGCAACCTGCTCCCAGCCCTCAGGGCCAAGGGAAGCTCTCTCTCCCTAGGAGCTGGGGAAGGACTTTCTTGGGCTCCTGAGCCCAGAGATGCCCATTGCCTCCCCTGTGTGGACAGAGAACAGGGCAGCCCAGCCCAGAGACCACCTTGCAGTAACAACAGCCCCTGCCTACTTTCCTGCAAATGTCCCTGGCGTTGCTGGCTCCCAGCTGTTTTGAGAAAAGTGACCTGAGAGACCCCATGGCACTCAGGCGCTTCCAGCTTCCAACTTCCAACCCTGCTGCCTCCCACAAGCCTTTCTGACCCGGTTAGTGCTGTGAGCCCTGGGATCCAAGGACATACCTCTGCCATCCCAGGCTACTGGATGCCCAGGGGGTAGGCAGGTGAGCAAAATAAGAACTTCACTGCTCTCTGGACTCCCAAGGGTCCCAGGGAGCGCAGACCCTATCCAAAGAGGCGACTGTCCCACTGGAAGCCTCCCATCCCTTGGGAGTTTGGGGGGCGGGGGGCAATCCTGGCCTGAGCCCTTCCAGTTGACTCCTCTGCAAGTCCGAGCAGCACCCACACACAACAGCGGCCTTTGTCCCCCCTCACCCCCCGCCCCTCCCGCCCCCCGACCAGCAGCCTCCAAGCCCAGGAGAGTTTTCTAGACAGAAAAGAAAGAGCAAGGTCATGGCATCGCTTGTGACACAATTCTAGTAATAAGCTGCTAAATCCATCACCAGCTGAATCGCGGGATGCTGGCCATGAGGTTGCACAGACCCTGCTTAATGGGAGCCCAAGCTCAGGAGCCGTCTTTTTGTTTCCAGGGAAGGTATTTGCGAATGCAACTTTTTTTTTTTTCCTCTGCTCTCGTTAAGGCTGATTTTTACCACTGAGCGAATTGCATATATTTGGATCCATGCCATGCTAAATACTGTTTATTTTGGAGATCTGTCAGAGGCAAGTGCATGGAAGACAAGGGGATTCTGATTTGAAAAGGCAATTCTCATCCAAATAGATTCAGATGGAGCGGAGCAGTGCGGATTAAAACGCGCCCAAGTGGTAATGCCGTTTATCCAGTTTGCCTTTGTTACTTTGTGATTAAATGGTATTTTTAATTAAGTTTCATTGGGAGCCATAGGTATCGCGGTGGTGAAATCAATTTGACAACCATAAAGGGGGAGGAAGGCCCAGGCGTGTTGTGATGATTGAGGCTCTAGGCGGACCTGGCGGGGAAGGGGAGGGAAGGGGAGGGAAGGCGGCTCGAAGCCGGCCACGAACGACTTGACTTCCCAAGTACAAGCGTGCCCCCCACCCCCACCCCGGGATGCTGGCTGCTGGGTGCAGACTACAGACTGTGACCGGCTGGGGAGGCGGGACTGAGGATTGTCAGGGACAGGAATAAACCCAGTCACTCGCTACCCTGAGACACCCCGATATATTCCCCGGTCAGTTGGCAACTCCAGGAGATGTCTGGAGGTCTGTTCTCTCACCTGAGTGCCCCCAGGACCCAATTCTGCAGCCTCACCCCCAAGCAGCCCCCAGTCTCCCAGGACAGTTCTAATTCCCACTCTCTCAGAACTCGGGAGGGACGCGTTCTCCTCGACAGGTGGCCTGGATCCTCTGGTGACAATGACGGCCCTGCACTGTGTCGCCATCGACACTCGTCACATCCCCGGCATCTCCTGATTCCTGAGCTACTGCCGAAGTGTCTGGCTGCAGACTTCTCGGGTTTGGGTCCTGGCTCTCAGTGTGTGACCCCAGGACCACCCACCCACGTCAAACTTTTGTTGTCTACACAGCAGGGATGATAGTGACTAAGGATGGCCCACGAAGATGAAATGTGTGAATGAGCATATGAAATGCTCCCAGCAGAGACTGACATACACGGGTCTTCAGCAAGGTCCTAGCCATTGCGGCCAAGTTTCTTTGTGACCCCAGGAAACCACTTCCCCTCTCTCTCTCTGCTCCAGTTTTTGAAGTGGGGCACCTTTTTCCTGCCAAGGGCCATTTGGATATCTATAGCATCACTCACGGGCCATACAAAATTGTCCACTTAAAAATTAGCCTGCTCTAGATTCATTAAATTTCAAGTCTCACCTGTGGTTGCCTTGGCCAGGCAAGGATGTGACTTATATGGCCCGTGGGCAGGATGTTCCCTACCCCTGTAGGGAATGATGGTAGCTCCAAGCTCACTGGATTCACCTCAGGTCTGGTCCATGGGAACCACTCAGTAATGCATGTGAATTATTATGATGAAAAATATTCCCAAAGAGGAGACTAAAGAGAACTCTGGTTTGTTTAAGACAAAGAGAATGTTGCCTTCCAGCCCGTATTATCCCATTTGCACTTCACGGCTTCCATTTTTTTCCCGAGGCCGATGGCGTGGAACTTTTTATAAATGAGATACTATGAAGAATGATTCTTAGTACTCCCTTCCTGCAGCCAGATTAGGTCACCCCTTGCAATTTTAGATTTGCTTAAAAAGATGTTGCCATCACCTTCTAATGGATGATCTGTGTACAACAACTGTTTATTGGCTCTGAATGGCTGAGCCAGGGTCAGCCTCTTTCCAAGCGAGAGAAGCATTAATTAACTTCCAGCGTTAGATTCCGTGATTCTTTTCCAATGATGCAGTTCATGACTTTGCTTGCATTTACTTTTCATCAGTCCTGAAACAATCGAGGGAAAATAGTTGCTCTGCACATATGTGTCAGGCTAAATGGATCACAGCAGATACAGATCTGTTTGCCTGTCTGCGCTGCCTTTAGACAAAATTCATCAATTTTACAAAAGCCACTGACTAAACATGGCACCAATACAAATGAAGGGCCTCGAGCCTGCCTGGTTTTTCCCTTTTGTTTCTAATCTGCTAAATGCAGTGGCTTCCTCTTGAGCGATGGCAAGTGCTGGCCTGGGACAGCACCCTGGCCCACAGCTGGGGACAAAGCAGTCAAGGCCATTCTACAGGGAGTTTAGGAGAAACACGGTGGTTCCAGACCCTGTGCACTCAGTCATTCTGACCCTCTTGGTTCGTGACCATGACACAAAACCCTTCCACACAGCCTCAGCTGGTGTTAAAGGTCAAAGAGTACAGCTGACCACCACCTCCATCGGTGGCGCCACTTTCAGGGGAGCCTGATGCTCCTCCAAGATTCCTAGTCCAAGAGAAGCTCTGCAGGAAAGGGCAGCACCCACAGGTGCACCTAGGCGTGTCTCCCCAGTGGAGAGAACAATTGAAGGCACTATTCGTATACACTAAAGTCCTTTGCAAGTTCCGAGCAAGGGGGACTATTAGTAATAGTAATGATGAAACGCATTTGGTTTGGCAGGTTAGTGGAAGAATTTCCACGTTTATCACCTCCGAACCAGCAAGCCCGGTCTGACCCAGAAGTGCCAAAAGGCTGGCTCTGGTGGCCGTGACAAGCAGTCACAGCCTCTCCTGTCTAGGTGTGGTTCCCGCAAATACTGCTGAGACCTCCTGTTCATTTTCCCAGATGCCAGGGCACCAGAGCGGACGCGTGTTCAACACTTCCGTAAAGTGATCTAGGAGCTCCCCACGCTGTGCCCGCCCCGCCCAGTGCTGCCTTCTGACCCAAGACATGTGGATGCTTTCATTTGTTTCTTTGCAAAACTGCTGTTGTCCCCTACTGCCAAAGCCTACTTTTCCATTCAAATGGGAGAGTCAGCTCTTGACCTTGGGAGCAAGCATCGTTAACCTACCAACCCCCTGGCTCCGCAAGGGATGAATCAGTTTCTCAGATCAGATCAGCTACCGCTCCTGCTTCGAACCCATCCAACACAGAAATCTGGGCCCAGTCGCCCTCCTTCCCCTGCATGCCCCTCCCCACCCAGGCAGAGATTTCCAGTTGATTAGGCCTTGATTAGAGTCGGGAGAGACACAGGGCAGGTCTATAGGATTCCCGCTGTGGTCCCCTCCCTTGCTCCTTGGCCAGGGGCAGCTGAGAGGGCTCCCAGGGAACATGTGAACAATCAAGCCCTGTTTACCATGGACCTTTAGTTTTCTTTTCTCAAAATCAAAACAGAGTTTAGTAGGCAGCGTATTTCATACATGCCCCTTGATCAATGGAATGATCTGTCAGAAGCCATTAAAGCCGCCATTAGCTTGAATGCATTCAAAGCTAAACTATTGGATCATTTAAGAGCTGCAGTGATTGTTTTTAATATACTGTACATTGATTTCTCCCTGTGAGCAGCAACATACGTTTGAAACTAACTGTGTATGACTAAGGCTCCATTGGCTGTCTCTACAAGAAGCATGGTTTCACTTCGACCAAAAAGGGCTGCGTATGGTTTTCAGAGAGCTGCAGACCCTGGTCGGGTTCCCAAGGTTTAGACTGGGTTGAGCTGTTTTTTTTTTTTTTTTTTTTTTTTTTTTTTTCCCTGAGCTTTCTTCCATTTCTTTGTACCCATGAGAGCGCTGTGCGTGCAGAACAGGAGAGGCATCCCTGCCAACGACCTCAAGTGAAAGGCAGTGGGGGAAATTGTTCTGAAAGCATGAAGCAGAGCTGAGGCCAAAATCCAAGTGAGTTTGACAGCCTTGGGTTAGCAAAACTGTGCCCAGCACAAAGCAGCAGAAGAGTGGCTGTGTCAGGGTCTTCCTCTCGGGACAGAGTTTATGGCTCTACAGGTACCTGGGAACAGCCACGGGCCCACCTTTGGCTGCCATACTGCCAGCTTGTGGTAGAATTGACCCTTCTTT